GAGAAAGCACATGAATGGGGTGAGGGGTGGGGAAGAGGGTGAGAATCTTTCATGCAGACTCCCCACTGAGCATGGAGGCCCACAAGGGGCTCCATCTCATGATCCATGAGATCATGACCTGAGCTCAAACCAAGAGTTGGATGCTTAACTGACTGAGCCATCCAGGGGCCCTAAGAAATTAAATTTTGTTACATGTAACAATATGGCTGGATCTCAAAAACAATTTCTTCGGTGAGAGAAGCCAGACATAAAAATGTACATACTGTTTGATTCCATGTACATGAGATTCTATTAAATGGGAGTTGTCTGGGTTTGTAGGAGATTGACAACAAAGGAGCTTGAGAGAACCTTTGAGTGTGATAGAATCTGTATCTTTATTGTGATGGTTATATAAGTATTTGTCAAAATTCATCCAACTCTACATTTTAAGTGGATACAGTTTTATTGATATAAATTATACCTCAATAAACTTAATAAAAATCATATCCAGGTATTGTTGAGGCTCCTTGGTATGGCTTCTTCTAATCTAAACACCTGTGAACTAAAGGAACAAGTGATTTCCTCCACCTCCCAGCCTGGCTGTAGCCAACACATGGTAGAGAGCCTGGAAAGCTCCCATTCAAAAACCAGGGAAAATTAGAGACCCGTAGTGATGACGATTCTATAGCAATTCTGAAATCTAGCCAGGTATTTGTTTCCTGTTTCTTGATTAGGGTTTAGTGTTTCTTTATGGGGATGTTCCTCATCACTCCTTGCTCTGTCTTTTGGGCTCTTGGCTTTTCCCTCTGAATTATTATTATTTTTTTAACCATAAGGAATGATTTGCTTCCTTAAAGCTGAGTAGTTTTCCTAGCCTCCCTCCTGTTTGTAGGAATTTGGAGAATCAAATGTCTCTTTTCATTTTGAACTCTATCCCTTTCATATGAAATTAGTCTGATTCGTTGGTTTTGAGGCTATGTCTGTGTCCTTTGCCTTTCCTAGGCATACACCTTCTTATAAGCCATAGCTTTCAGAAATGATCACTTGCACTGAGTTTCAGTTTCCTCTCAAGGGCAAGGAACTCCATTTCTGCCTCTGGATTCTTGGTGAGTTTGACTTGTTCCTCTACTTTGGGGAACTTTGATCCCCTTCTACTTCTCCAGAGTCACACTTCCTGCCGTTTCTAGTTGTTTCTGGAACCAGAGCCTGGCAGATCTCAGGTTCCATCCCTTTCATGGCATTGCATTTTTGTTCTAGCTAAAAAAAGTGACATAGTAAGCTCCTCTTTTAAGCTTTTCTCTGATGCAGTCTTGACTGGCATTGTCCCTGCTATTTCTTTAATTATTATTTCCCCAGTTCCTATTTATTTACTCCTTCTGGAATTCATATTATTTCAGTGTTAGAGATTATGGAAACTATCTACTTTATCTCTTGCATTTTCACTTATTATAATTATCCTTTTGGTTTTTCCTGTGTGTTATCTGAATATTTCTTATCCTAGTTTTGTAATACACTGATTTGATTTTATGTTATTTTATACTTTATTTATTTTTTAAAGATTTTATTTATTCATTCATGAAAGACATAGAGAGAGAGGCAGAGATAAAAGCAGGCTCCATGCAGGGAGCCCAAAGCGAGACTTGATCCAGGGACTCCAGGATCACGTCTCGGGCTGAAGGCAGGCGCTAGACCGCTGAACCACCCAGGGATCCCCTTATACTATATTTAATCTGTTATTCTCTTCCATTATGATTTTGAAATTTGGTAATCATGTTTTTCATTTTTTTTTAAAGATTTTATTTATTTATTCATGAGAAACATACAGAGAGAGAGGCAGACACACAGGCAGAGGGAGAAGCAGGCTCTCCACAAGGAGCCTGATGCGGAACTCCATCCTGGACCTTGGGATCATTCCCTGAGCCAAAGGCAGATGCTCAACTGCTGAGCCACCCAGGCATCCCCATGTTTTTCATTTGTAAGCACATGGATAATAGATTGTTCATTTCCTTTTTACATCTGAAATATCCATTTGAATGACACTGGTAACACAAATTAAAGTTATATTTAGAAGTTCCCCGTATATCTATATCTATATCTATATCTATATCTATATCTATCTATCTATATATATTTATTTTGTAGGAGGACAGTTGGTCTTTCTTTAAATCTTACATGTCTTGTGTCTTATCTCTTTATCTTTATGGGGACACGTCTTTGTTTCTTTAGTATTTGGAATCAAGAATAATGTTGAGAGAATGGTTCTGGATTCCTGCTGAAATATTTTAGCATTAGGAAAAAGTGAAAGGGAGGAATTTATATTTCCTATAGTTTTACTCCTTCTGAGGAGGAAAGAGACATTTGGATGTCAGGGAACTTACTAACATAATTACTAATGTTTCTGTGTTAGTTTCAGCACCCTGAAATTGATCAAGCCACAGTCCCTCTCTTCTCACTGGCACAAGTACCATAACCGTGAGTTCCTATAATCATGTCCCCTGCACCAGTTGTAGGCTATGTACGAGCATCATGCCTTGCTGTTCTGTGTGGTAGACAGCACCAGTTACTCTTCCTAAAGAGGCTTATGGTGTTGAGCGTTGAGCTTTATCTTCTACCCTCCGTCTCATGGTCACTCTGACCTCTGGCTCCATCACTGTGAGTTTGAACGGTCTTATCTACTTTGAGTTCCAGTTAATGGTGTTTCCAGCTGGAGACAGTCTTAATGGCAAGAAACGGAACTTCTTGCCTAATGTCCATGTCTCTTGTGCCAGCCGGATTTTAGCAATGATATGGCCTCCTTCATTAGTTGTCTCAACTGCCAGCGCAAGAAGGTGGCTTCAAGCAGTGCCTCTGCTTTCCTTGGCCTGAATGGGAGCATGGATTAGGGACAATATAATGAATTTAGTGTGGGACACATTGAATTGTAAGAAAGTAGGGCTTTTCAGTTTGTATTTGTAATGGGGTTAGAGGTCGAGAGAGAGCAGTTTGGGTTGGAAATGTTGACTTCGTAATCAAAGCTCCTTGTTATTTGAAACTGATAGTCCTTTTATTTATTTATTTTTTATTTTTTAAAGATTTATTTATTCATGATAGAGAGGGAGAGAGAGGCAGAGACACAGGCAGAGGGAGAAGCAGGCTCCATGCCGGGAGCCTAACGCGGGACTCGATCCTGGAACTCCAGGATCGCGCCCTGGGCCAAAGGCAGGCACCAAACTGATGAGCCACCCAGGGATCCCCCTGATAGTCCCTTTATTAGCAGTTTGGATTGTCCAGAGGGAATGCAAGTAAAAGGGAAATAAAAAAGGTTAGACACAGAGTCCTGAGATTATAGCATACTTGGGGTGGTCAGGGAAGGAAAAGCTGCTAAAGGTTATTGTGAAGGAGATTTCCGAAGAATTGAATGAGAATGGGGGAAGAATGGTTCTACAGAGCCAGTAAATATGACTTCTTTAAAACACTGTTCCTGATGTTTTGGGGAGATCAACTAGGGTAAGGACACATAGTGGCTCATGTGCTTGAGCAACTAGGAGATCGTTGATGACTTCCCAGCACTTTCGGGATGAGTGGAAGTCAGATTGCAGTTGATTGAAAAGTATACGTCAGGTTAGGACATGGATCTAATAACTTATTTTGAAAACTTATGAAAGGAAAGAGGTGGATTGGTACAGAGGACAGCTACAAGTGAATTAAAAGGATATGTTGTTTTATGTATGCACCCTGTGTAATAAATAGATAAATGTTTCAGTCCTCTTTTTTATTAATATTTTCTATGAGAATTTCTTTTAATATTTAAGCATTTTTCAATTTTTAAGTTAGCTCTTTTTATGATTGTTTAATCTATTCTTAAAGAAGGACAGGCCAGTGCTTAGTATGATGTATCAGATTGCCTCTTCCTACATCTTTAGTTTTAAATGTTTATATCAGCTCAAGCACATGGGCTAATGAAATTATTCTCAAAATATTACTTCATCTATTTTCTTGTTTGTTCTTAAGTATTTGGATATCTGGGATATTGAGTAGGGGTATAAAAATTTAATAGCTCTCTTTAAAACAACTAGCCTAAGGATTGTTGCTCTTTCAGTGTTACTAACAAAAACACATTCATTGTCATCTTGTCTTTCTCAACTACTATTCTGTCTTTGAGAATACTTAGTATGGACCAGTATTTGTGAAGGGAATCGTGATAGGGCTTATGGTTAAAAGTTAGTGACTTTAACTCATTCTTTAATGGTTAATTTCCATTTTATGTATCTTTAAGGAGCTGTTCAGAGGAAAAGATATTCATAATAATGAAACTTTCATTGAAGTAGCTTGAGTAAAAATACATGAGAGACTCCAGGCTAAAGTAGAATATTGAGAATGGCATTTTTACACTATATTTTATATTGGAGAAAAGTCTTCTTGTTCAAATTCATTTGGAAGCTTACACTATTTTCCTATTTATACTGTGTTTACAACATTTTACCTGAATTAACGTGGTGTATTTTAAATTTAAGACTTTGATTTATCTGTAGTTTCTGACATGGTTTCAAATTAATCCAAATTTTCAGTACATGAAGATACTTAAATTTTATATATTTTAATGCTTCATCTTGATGTGCAACATGAATCCAATAACACTTACTAACCTTTTAAAACAATTATCCTCTCTGAGAATATATGTTTTATTTTTCTCTTGTTCTCTACCTTAGGAAAAGAAGGAGGGAGGAGAAAAGGTTTAAATACATGTAGTTAAAAAAATACATGTAGTTTATAATAGTTCCACTTAAAAATAGCACTTGTTTGTAAGCAAGTGTGTGGCATTTAGGTGACATTTTACTTATAGTTAAGCCTAAGTGAATTAAAACGTAAGAAATACAAATGGTTGTTATTCGCATTTATTTTTTCTTTACTATGGAAACATCATTGTTAAATATAAACAATCATCTGATATCCAGAAGAAAAAAATTAGTAATCCTAGATTTGAATGCCCATGTGTCCTCTGAATTTCCCCCATTCTGATTGTTACTATTTTGGTCTGTTAGTAGGGAGCAATCCACTGCGAAGCTCCAAATGAGATCCCATTCTATGAGTCCAACCTCCAGAGAAGATGGACAAAATACTACCCCAAAGAGTTGTGTAAGATCAGATTCTACTTTTGTTTGTTTGTTATTTTAAAATAATTCCACAAATGTTTAATTTCATGTTTGTCAAAATTCCAACAATTATTTGAAAACAGTGCATAAAGTCTAAATGTTTTGGTGAACACCCTGATAGCAAAGAAAATTGTGTTTGGTATATTCCACCTTGTTCCTTCTGCTTTCTCAATGATTCTGAGGCATCATGTGAAGCAGTGTGTTGTTTCTCTTGTGCACTGAAGAATGACTTTGGAAAGCTTCATTTTTTAGTTGTTTTTTTTTCCTTTCCCCTTTTACTCAGAGTATATGTATGTGGGTATGTGTGTGTGTATATAAATGATTAGACATCCAGTGGTCACAAATTTAAGAAACTGGGATTAATTTGTAGTGAAGTAGGGGACATTGCATTTTTGCTGAAAATGAACTATTTATGTCCTGAAATGTGAATGCTCTCTTGCATCTAATTACTTAACATAGTTTTGGTTTGAACAAGGTGCTAGTGAGCATTCCAGTTGGCTTTCTAAAGAGAAGAATTTTGTCTGTTTACTATGGCCTTTCTTTTGTAACTCTGGCTTGTCTTGGGTTATGGGACTTTTAGTTACAAAGAGATCATGTGTGATGCGTGACTGTTCAGCAAATATTGCTCCAAACATAACTCACTGCATTTTCTCCAGTGATAGTTTGGAACTTTGGAAAATGTTTTAAGGGCAGCGTGTTTTAAATATTTGTGGGTTTATTATCAACCATTACATTCACTCAAAATAAACAAGGCAGGTGCTTTTTCTTGAGAACTTCTTGTTCACAAAGAAAAACAGACAAGAAGCAGGGGACCAACAATATAAATAATAAGGAATTTAAATATGGTATATATAATAAATTCAACATTCTGTTCAATAGAAATTTGGAGATAATAAGATATGAAGAACATTTTAGTATATCTTTATCACTTCAGATAATTTAAATGATTATAGGTAAATAGATTTATTTATTAATAATGAGGTTTTTCTAAAAGCGTGAAAATGCTGTGCCAATAAATTTAATTTCAAAATACATTTTTTTGGCCGTACTGTAACATACACATTATTATTATACACAGATTTACTTTTCTAAGTTTCTAGAGCTTTTAGATCATTGCCCATTTCTGGGTACCAATTTTAGACTGTGTTCAGTTAATTATATTTTTAATCGGCTTTGATAAATGTGTAATATAATAAGTTATATGGGAGGAAAAAAAGCATGTAATTTTAATTTTTAAAAAAGTAAAATTTCACCATAATTGTGTTCTCATGATGTGAATCCAAAGCTTATTTCTCTTTATATTCAGTGTATGAATGAGAATTAATTTCAGAACAAAGAGCTTCTTGGACATCAACAAACTTCCCTGTTAACTAATTTTAAGGATTATAAATAATTCATCTTTTCAAGTGTTTCCCCACCCCCCTTTAAAGCTACTGTGGTATATACCACAATTAAAACTTTTTGCAAAAGAACTTAAAGAGAAGAATCTGGATTAATTTTTAAAAAGTTCTTTTGATGTGTGTTTTGTTTTAATCTAGTTACTATGCGAATATATTGGAAGGCACCTCATAGCCCTCAGCAGCTATAATAAACAGTCATTACTTAGAATTGAGAACTCTAGCTCAGCTGTGACATAAACCTTTCCTCTGAGGGTGATACACCACTACCAGAAAAGCACACAAAATTTTTCATTACTTTGAATGACATATATTTTGTCCTGTTTTCTGTCTTTTCTGTTTTCTTTTCCCCTCACTCCCCCTCTCCCTCGTTCGTTTTTGCTTTTATTTCTTCCTTCCTTCTCCCCCTTCTTGTCTTTTGTCTTTTGTCTTTCAGGAAGCTCATTCCAAAAAATCTGCTGTTTCTTTGGATGACAGTGACATTGAAGCTCGCCTTAATAGTTGGAATCTTGGGGTAAAAAAAAGTACTTGTTTTATGTATGTATATTAATGTAGGAGAATCGTATTATATTTGTAAAACATCTCAACTAATTCTATTTAGTGAATGTTATTGGATGTCAGCCATTCAGTACTGCGGTGGTACTGTGGGAGAAGGACTTTGAGTACAGGAAAGAGAAAGAACATTCCAAAGAAGCATAAAACAGCCCCTGCCCTCAACAAGCTGATTTTCTCATTGGTAAAATAGAAGATATACACATAAGTCATTAAATAATAATTTAAGATAGTATATGGTGAAATATTAAAATGAATTAGAAATTACAATACTAAAGTGGTGGAACAGGGAGGGAGGACTTGGAGAAGCAAGGTCATTTGGGTAAAAAAAAAAAATGGGAGATTTCCTGGATGAGCTGCCATCATGGGCAGCAGTTTAGAGATACAGAGGCCGAGAGGGGCATGGATGTATCTGGATAGCTGTGGAGGTACAGAGCTGGGAAGAGAGAGGTATGAAGGAACATGTGGTGTAAGTCACTTGACATGACGGGATCTTTGGGATTAATGTATGGGATTAGCGGGGCAGTGTTAATCAGGCTGGATTGTATTGGAGCTTTGATTGCTAGATGGAGTGATTTAGCTTTTACATTTTAGGCATAGTGAGCCATAGAGGTTTATTTTTTCCTTCCATGGTCCACTCTACATGATGCTGTTTAAATGCTCTGAGGAAATGAAAAGGGGTTTAGAGCAATTTTTATCACATTTTGTTATTAATTAAATAATTTGTAATTTGAAAATTGAAAAGTATAGAAAATCAGAGGAATAAAGTATGTTTGAAAATCCTAACACTGAGAGATGGCTTAACCTTGCGTTCTATATATCCTCCCTTTCTTTTTTCCCCTGTATTTACACAATTAAACTTTAAACAAAATTGGGGTTATAAATATTATTTTGTGCTGTTTTAAATTTGCTATAGGTTTATAATAGTTCTATAAATATGAATATTAACAATAGCACTAATTTTTCTTTTGGATGGGTATTACATAACTTATTTAAGCATTCTGTTATTTTTGGACATTTTGGTTGCTCTCAGTTTGCGGCTAATATAAGTAACATATAAGTAATACTGCCGTAAAAGTTCCTACAGATTCTTTGTATACATTTTTGGTTGCTTTCTCAGGTTACATCCCTTCCAGGCACCTGCCTCCAGAAGGTATATACCAGTTTATTCCCCAACTAGCAGTATATAAGATTATCTATTTCTTACTTCTTCACTGCACATTAGGGATTGTTGTTTTGAAAAACGTAAAACCTTTCCTCCTAATAATGGTCTTTAATGAAAGCAGTGCTTTAGGAAAATTGACTTGGTGGCATTTTGAAGGTTGTGTTGAGTGTGAATAGAAATTGGAGAAAGGGAACCAATCATCTTTTTGGTGTTTGTGGTGAATACCACATTAGTATGATTTCTGTGAAAATGGCAAGTATTGAAAGAAAAAACATTTCAAAGAGGGTAAAAGATGCTAGTGACTGATTGGTGAGCTGACCAGAAGGGGCACCTAAAGGTTTACTTCTAGGAAATGGGAACATTGGTTCTCTGTCAGCTTCATGAGACTCGAGGGCTGGAATCCTATTTCGTAGTCACACGGTCCCGGGTGGTGGCTGCACCCAGAGGCTGGACAGCCGGTCTTCAGGGGACAGAGTAAGGACAGCTGGCTCCTGCAAGGGACATGAGTAGAAGGTAGGGCATGGATAAGAATTTAAAGCAATGTGAATCTCCTAGCCATTTTGGGAGCATGTTAGCTAAAGAGAAGAGAGAGAATTAATAACAAGAGGGGAATAATAAGTCAAAAGAAACACACTGTTATGTTTGAAGGTGGAGCGGAAGCTGCCACTGGAGGGCAGGCCTAAGTTACGAGTGTGGGAGAAGAGCACAGGAAATCCCCCAGAAAGAAATTTTTTTGATATTTGCCAGAAAGCAATATCAAAGTGAAAAGTGAAATCCTGGGCTATCCTTTAAAACTTGCCTTTGCCCTTAGCCATTTGAAACTTCTGATGTACATTTCTTAGCACAGAGAGTACTTTGCCCGATTATTTAACTGTTCAGTGGATTGAATTCATATAATAAAATTAAAATAAAACATCTAAAATATTTTGAGGTAATGCTTGAAAACTAGGTCTGCCTGGGTTTGTTTCACACTTTTATTGTTCAAAGGATACACTAACATTGTAAAATATGAAAGTCTTGCATTTTTATATATTTATAACATATATACATTAATCAGGCTGAACTATATCTTTTGATCACAGTAGAATAATTTAAGAATCCAGTGTATTAAAAAGCTTTGATTTTAGTTTTGTATGAGAACTTGTGATGGATTTTTTTTCTTTCTTCCTGTGAATGATGGTTAATAGTAGTTAATTTTAGTGCTCTATACCAAGCGTGCATTTTTTATATTGCTGGCATGACTTTCATACGCCTTCGTTCAGGTGCATTAGATGTTCTAGAATTTGAATTTTCTAGCTTTTGTTAAAAATACATTTTTTTTCCCTGCAAATATAGTCTTTCTTTCTCCCGGGAGTGTTAGTATTTTTTTTTTTAAGGAATACATAATTCAAATAGAGAGATTTACTTATTAAACCTAGCAATTAAATTTTCCTCCTGTATTTTTTTCTTACTCTTTAAACTTTTAACCTTTAGTTTTGGGGAAACTTTCTTACTCTGCCTTATAATTGATATATTCCATGCTTGACTGTCTTTATGTAAATTTTTTTTTCTGTTTTATTTTTCTGAGGCCCTGGTAGAGGGCTGGGAGGAGGACTTTCCTGGGCCTTCCATTCTAGTTATTAGTCACCTGCCCACTGCCACCATTGGCCTATGCACTGACTGTAAAATCTCACTCTCACCAGGAGCAGAGGAATAGTGAGGACTCTCTTTGCTCCTTTGCCCCAGAGCAGGATCCAGGAGGAGTATGGAATTAGCACAGGGATCGCTCTCAGGAATAGGCAGTGGGAGCTGGGTGAGGTTAGCAGAAGTGAGTGCCCCTTAGATCCCGCAAGTAGCTCCAGCGGGTGGACAGCGCCCTAGAGTTAGGCAGACCCACCTGGAGGTCAGGGGCCATTAGGGAGGAGTGAACCTTTCTGCCGAGGGCTAGGGGTTACCTGTGAGCTGTTAGCAAGTGGGGATATGCCTTTACTGTCCTTGTGGGAAGCCTGGCTGGTCTGCTCCCTGGGGCCTCCTTCACTGTGGCTGTTGGGAACTGTCTTAATCAGACACCGGGGACAGCTGTCAGGCTGGTGTCGCAGACAAAAGAGTAAGAGTAAGACCAAAGAGTAGATTGAGATGAGCGATTCCAGTAGATGAGCTGCCCAACTTGGTGACCCTCAGAATTACGAGCTAAATAAAATGGTTATAGTTTGAAGCTGTGAAGGTTTGGGGTAATTTGTGGTGTAGCAGAAAGCTAATTAATACAGGTACTGCCTAATGATTTTCTGAAGTGACTGTGCTGGTTTTCATCATCATCAGCAAAGTGCTGGCTTCTGAGAGTCTACTTTCTCTTCAATCCTTGGTATGGTCAGTTAATTTTTTTTTTTTTTTTTTACTTAAAAAAATTTAGCCTTTCTTAAGAGTGGTTAGTAACATTGCGTTATGTGGTTTTAATATGTATTTTCCTGGTGACTAACACAGTTAGGTGACTTTTCCTATGTTCGTGACAGTTTAGATGGTCTCTGGGAGTCAAGTGCCTACTTGTGGCTTTGCCAGTTTTTCTGTTGGGTTGTTTGCCTTTTTCATACTGGTATGTCAGAGCTTTGTATCTATTCTGGGTAAGAGTCCTTTTGGACTAAGTATAAATAGTTTCTCCTACTTTGTTGCTTTCCTTTAATCTCTTACTGGTGTCTTTGATGAACAGAAAAATTAAATTTTAATGCAGTTCATTTTCTCATTTTTTCATTATGTGATTAGTGCTGTTTTGTGTTCCATTTAAGATCTTTGACTACCTTAAGGTCCTGAAGATGTTCTTCTCTGTTTTCCCCTAGCAGCCCTATGGTTTTACTTTTTCTATTTAGATTACATCCCATCTGGAGGTGATCTGGGTATATGGTATAAGACAGAGTGTTAAGATTTATTTTTGTTCCTTATGTCTATCCAGGTGACACTCTCACATATTGTAAAGACTCATCCTGCTGTACTACAGTGATATTTGTCTCATAAATCAGGTGACAGTACATGTCTTTCTGTTTCCATTCTGTTCCTTTGGCTTATTTGCTTTTCCTCATGCCAATAGACTGTGCCTTTATGTTTGTATTTAATTTGTGCTCACTAAATGTTGAAATGTGAGTAAACTAACGAATGAGCCTCCATTTGTAGTATTATTTCTGAGGAAAAACGTTTTTCAAGTTTTAAAATGTTGACTTAAAAAACATTATTTTGGAGCATAATTGATTTGACATTGAGGACTGAATTTATTTTATGCTATTGAGAGAATTTTGGCAGTTCTGACTGATGCCATGACCTAAAAACATTTATTTTAGTTGTGGTGCTAGTAATATATTGCTTGGTAATGTCCTTTCCTTTAAGGTGGCTAAAATATCAGATAAAATATCTATCTATTTTTCTAGAATCATAGAACATCTTTAATTGGTCAACATTAGTCTATAGGGGTATTTGATCAGTTTGACCAAAATCCTGAATAATCCAAAGAAACTGGCAGAGCCCTTTGTAACCAAATTGGCTAAAACACTAACCAAAATAGAATATCAAAAGCAGTTTTCATTAGAAAGAATTCAGATATCTGTATTTGTGTCTAGTTTAAACTATTACATATTTTATTACTGTGATTCTATTTGCTCTTTAAATAAGAAGTGTTTGGTCATGTGATTCATTCCTGCTATTGGAACTTCATTTTTTTGGCTTTGTTTTCTGTATAATATTTTGTTAGACTTTAGTGTTTCACATAAATCCTTTCTATCTTCTATTTTGGACATTCTTTATTGTGGTCTTCTTTCCTGAGGTATTATAAGAGAACAAGAAATTTTCTAAAAGAACATGAAAAAAATGTTAAGACTGTTTACAGATTGCTTCAAGTCCATTACTGGTGGGTTACAAAGTGGGAACATTTAACTTCAAAGCACATCTGGCTGCTGTTATAAAATCAGAAAATAGATTGCTTATTTCCCCCAAATAGATGCAAGAACATGCTTTACTATGGATAATTCTCATTACATATTGAAAGTGGTAATGAGACAAACTCAGTGTATTGTAAATGAACAACAACAGATTTATATATGTTCACAGTGTTCATTATTGTTTTTAAATATTATAATAGACTTTTTCTTTTCTTTTTTTTTTTTTTTGGTCAGCTTGAGAAAGGATATTTATGATAACAGAATGAGTCTTTAACTTCTGTATTTAAATGGCTTTTAAAGATGCAGAGGATGAAACAGGAGTCACTTCTCCATAGTTGAAAGGCTACATTGTAATTAGCTAAACCAATATTTTGTACTCCGCTGTAAATGTAGAGCTGTGTCAAAATAAGTCACAGATGGTTTTCTTGGCTTTGGTTTTAAATTTTAAGCTTAATTAGAGCTTGAGCATCTTTGAGAATTCCGTTTCCCCCGCCTTTATTTTTCCCCTTCTATTTAATTCTGCTTCATGAATTAGGGTTTTATATATTTGCAGATATGGGTGTGTCTTTGAAGAACTTACTTTCTAGGCTGTTTTTATCCATTCCAAAAATAGAGAATGGTTACTTACTTTTCATATATATACCTTCAGACAATAAATATTTATTGAGTGCACTTTGCTGCCTCCTGGAAATTTGCTGCCTCTATTTTTCAAAAAGCTGTGTATATATAGTACAGTGTTATTTACTAAATGTGCCTCTTCCTCTGGTATGATATTTAAGTGGGTTTTATTATTATCTCCACTTATTAAATGTTTTCCAAAGTAAATGTACAAATTCATACACCCACTAGTGGTACACCATCTGAAACACTTTTATTTTCAGATTTTTAATGTGTACCAATCAGGTGGCTATAAAATGCTATTTCACTGTGGTATTACTTTACATTTTCATTGGAAAAGATTGCACATATATTCATATGTGTAGTAGTCATACAAATTTCTTCATCAGTAAATTGTGTCTCATATTTTTCCCATTAAAAAACCTATATTCTTGGGATCCCTGGGTGGCGCAGCGGTTTGGCGCCTGCCTTTGGCCCAGGGCGCGATCCTGGAGACCCGGGATCGAATCCCACATCGGGCTCCCGGTGCATGGAGCCTGCTTCTCCCTCTGCCTGTGTCTCTGCCTCTCTCTCGCTCTCTCTCTCTGTGACTATCATAAATAAATAAAAATTAAAAAAAAAATTAAAAAAAAAAACCTATATTCTTTCATTAAATTTTAAAGACCTTTTTTACATATTTTGAGACTGATAATTTGTTCAAACATCTCCAGTTTATGGTTTATCTTTTCATTTTATTTATGATATATTTTTTGGAGTAAGTTCTTGCCTAGTCAAATTTATTAATTTTTTATTTATGCTTTTTGGATTTTTTTGTCTCTTGCGTAAGAAATCTTTTCTGTTTTGGCCATAAGTCATTCTTTTTTTTTTTTTTTTCCCTTAGAGAGCAAGTGAAGGGGAGTGGGGTATGGGGTGAGGAGGGGCAGAGGAGAGAGAAAGAGAGAATTTTAAGCAGACTCCACACCCAGCATGGTGCTCCATGAGGGGCTCAATCTCACAACCCTGAGACCATGACCTGAGCTGAAATCAAGAGATGGATGCTTAACCAACTGAGCCACCCAGTGCCTTAAGTCATTCTTTTAAGTTGTCTTCTGAAAGGTTTGGGTTCTGCTTTTATTTACTTATTTTTTAAAATATTTAATTTATTTATTCATGAGAGATACAGAGAGAGACCAAGAGAGGCAGAGACACAGGCAGAGGGGAGAAGCAGGCTCCATGCAAGGAACCCGACGTGGGACTGATCCTGGACTCCAGGACCACGCCCTGGGCTGAAGGCAGGCGCTAAACTGCTGAGCCACCCAGGCGCCCCGTAGGGTCCTTTCTCTATAGCTCTTCCTTTCTTTCCCTTCACCATGGAGAAACTTCCTTCCAAGGGGCCTGTCTCTCCTGCAGAAGTGGTTCCCTCCTAAGAACCTTCTCTGGTTCTTTATAGTTTTTCACACCCTTCTTTTGATTCTCCTGTCTCCAGCTCTCTGATCCATCAGGTTTTTTGTTCACGTAAGGTAGACCACTCTCCTTCTACAAGTCAATATTTGATGACACTTATATTCCAATACCACTGGGACCCTGAGGCACTTCCTTTTTGTTCCATTCCATCACTCTGGTTTAGCTTAGGATCTTATTCTGCTGATCCGTGATCTTTCTTTGGCCACTTAAATGTAAGTCAAAGGTTTTAGTAATTTCTCCTTATTATGATGTAGGCATAGGTGATGGGTGTTTTTATGTGCTGTCTTTGGTGATCTTTACGGGTTTTTGAGGATGGGGAGAGAAATATCAATTCAGACAGTTGTCATTACTTTATAGGAATCAGCCTTCAGGCAAAAGAAAGTTGTTTTGTAAATTACTCCTTATCTAAGTGTTAAAATATAGTTAACTTTTCAGATTCTATCTGTTGCTAGAGAGGCTTTTATGTTTTTTTAAAATGAATAATCAGTTCTATTTTTAATTTTGTTGCCTCTGTATTCTTTTAGTAGTTGGTCCTTTATTCATCCTTATCTTTATTATCAACTTGGGCATGGATTATCTTCTATGATTATTAACTATAATAAATCGTTTGAGGAGCTTTCTGAAAACATAGTGAGATTTTGGAGGAGTAGATCCTGATAATATATGTTTAACAAAGTTTGTCAGTTGGTGCCAATGGTATACTTCAGGGTAAAAACAATTATCCTAGTTTGAAGTCATGGTTAGTGTTATGTTTATGTTATTGTACATTTTGAGATTATCTATGTCATAAATTATAAGTTTAAGATGTCAGATTATAATTTCATGATAATGATTTTTAATTATCACTTCATTTATGAATGAAATAGTTGAAATAATAATGAATGTTTCTAATTTATCATATAGTATATTCATTCACTAAATATTTCCTCAAAAGCCTACTATGAGTTAGATATTATGCTATTTCTAGGAATACAAAATTGAGAAGTCATTATCTTTGCATTTATTGTGCACAAAGGCAGATGTGGAGATTTACTGATAAACACTTAGAATGTGCTATGAGAGACACGCTAGGATAGTTTAGAAGCTTGATAAGAGGGTGGGATCAGGTACATTTTGCCCCTTCCTCCCTCCCTCCCTCCCTCTCTCTTTTCCTTCCTTCCTTCCTTTCTTTTTAATGAATATTTGTTGGGCACCTACCTGCCAGGCCCTGTGGTAGATGCTTGGGATAGATGGGTTGTGACAGTCATAATCTGTTTTCAGAGTTTTTACTCTTTTATAGAAGACAGATGTTTGATTATAAAAGGGTACAATTGAAGTAGTAGAAACTTAATTAAATTTCCTGGGGAAGAGTCTTGAATAAGTGAACAATAAGAAGAAGTTGGGAGAATGATTTCATAGGTTGCAAAGATTCAGATTTGGGAAAGAATGTAGTGCTTTTAAAGGTAAAACAAGACGTTTGGTGTTCTTAGAGTACAGGGTATACTGAGGGGGTAGATGAGCCTGGAAGGTAGATATAGGAGGAGTCCCAAAGCAATTCTCTACGCTATTAGAGAGGTAATTCTCTACCTTTTCTGGAGGCAAATATAAGGATTCATGCACTGAACCTGCCTGGCTGTGTAATAATTAAATTGAGCCTTGAAAGATGAATAGGTGCATGCTTGTTGAGGTTAGAGGGGCATAGAGTTGTGCCTAGGGGTAGAGGGGCACAAGAAGACTACTGTATTTCAGCAGTGTAAGTCACCAGGGTTCTGGGAATCTAAAACGTGATGGGAGGAGTAGTGGAAATGAAGCTGAGCGGTTAGGCTGTGAGAGGATCACGATGGTGCAAAGAGTTTATGTTTTATATTTTATTTGTTAGTGGACTACTAAAAATATATTATGCAATACCCATCCTAAAACACTAAGTATTAAGACATATAGAAAATGTTTTCATATACCAACTTAATTCTGTATTTTATCAAATAATTAAAACTCAAAAATAGTATTAATAATTAATAAATTATTAATTTCTATCTTGAATTTTCAGATAGAAAATCCTCGATACCTGAGACAGAAACCAATCCCAGTTTCTTTGGTAGGTGAGAATTTCATTGGACTTTTCCTATGGACAGATTTTTTTTAAAAAAGATTTTATTTATTCATTGAAGAGGGAAAAGAGAGCACATGCACAAGCTGGGAGAGGGGTAGAGGAAGAGGGAGAAAGAATCCCATGCAGACTCCACAAGTGTGGAGTCTGATGTGGGGCTCCTTTCAATCCTGAGATGATGACCTGAGCTGAAATTAAATAGAGTGCTCAATTGGCTGAGCCACCTAGCGCCCTCTTATGGACAGATACTTTTCTTTTTCTTTTTTAAAAAAAAATTTTTTTTAAGATTATTTATTTATTTATTCATAGAGATGCAGAGAGAGAGAGAGAGGCAGAGACACAGGCAGAGGGAGAAGCAGGCATCATACAGAGAGCCTGACATGGGACTTGATCCAGGGTCTCCAGGATCACGCCCGGGGCTGCAGGCGGCGCTAAACCGCTGCACCACCAGGGCTGCCCTGGACAGATACTTTTCAATCAAGTAATCATTAAGTCATTTACAGAAAAGAACACTAGTCCACATTATGAAGTTTAATAGTCTTATTAATCCTATCACTTGCGGATGAATAAATCACTTTTTTCTCCAATGTTCGTATTATTATGATGAGAACTTCAGGGAATTGAGTTTCGTTTTGGGTTAAGGATAAGCCAGGCCAAAAAAGTATTGAATAACTCTTACTTTATTCAACAGGTGACTCCCAAATTCAGCCTGAGAAAATCCAGCAGTTTCCATGATGATCATCTACTCTCTCGAATGCATGAAAAAGAGGTAGGATTGAGATATTTCTGATGTATCAGATAATGAACATGATTTTTGTTTTTTTTTTGTTGTTGTTGTTGTTTTTTTTAATTTATGATGGTCACACACACACAGAGAGAGAGGCAGAAACATAGGCAGAGGGAGAAGCAGGCTCCACGCACCGGGAACCCGACGTGGGATTTGATCCCGGGTCTCCAGGATGGCGCCCTGGGCCAAAGGCAGGCGCTAAACCGCTGCGCCACCCAGGGATCCCCTGGTTTTTGTATTTTATATAATATGAGTTTTCAGGTCTTCGAATAATGATGCATGGTAGGAAGAGGTTGTCTTTGGTACAGATGTAAAATAATGATGCAAGGGTAGGCAAGTTTTTTCTTTTTTTTCAAGCACATTCCCCACTTTGTGAGAGTGTGCTGAGGGGCTCTCTTCTGAGTATCCATTCCTGCTTGTCAGGACCTGGGAGGTGGCAGTTTTCAGAATCAGTGTCTTTGACATCAGTGAACCCCTCCATCCTGCCATTATCTCAACTTATTTTAATGTATTTTTCTAGTTTCACTATTCTTACTGTTTGTACTATTTATTTTTATTTATTTTTTTTAAATGTTTTATTTATTTACTTATTCATGAGAGACACAGAGAGAGAGGCAGAGACATAGGCAGAGGGAGAAGCAGGCTCCTTGCCGGAAGCTTGATGTGGAACTTGATTCCAGGACCCTGGGATCATGATCTGAGCCAAAGGCAGACTCTCAGCAACTGAGCCACCCAGGTGTCCCTGTTTGTACTATTTAAATTGATCTGCTAAATTAAGTTATGCTATGGCTAGTATGTAACATAATATACTATCTTTCTTTGGTCATTTGAAAATAGAATTATCCAAGAGGCAGTATTGTTTATTGGTTAAAAGCATAGATTGTGGAATCAGAAATACCTGGATTTAAATCCTACTTGTTTGCTGTGTGAAAATGCGCAGATACTTGCCTTCTTTGTCTAATTTGGGAGATACCCGCTTTAACAGGATGAGTATGAAAATTCTGTAGTCTGCAAATAACTGTATGCTTCACATATAGTAGATATTAAATGAAAGTGAATTTGCTTTATTATTTTCTTTTTAAAATTTCTGGGGATCCCGGGGTGGCACAGCGGTTTAGCGCCTGCCTTTGGCCCAGGGCGTGATCCTGGAGACCCGGGATTGAATCCCACGTTGGGCTCCCTGCATGGAGCCTGCTTCTCCCTCTGTCTGTGTCTCTGCCTCTCTCTCTCTCTGTGTCTATTATATGATAAATAAATAAATAAATAAATAAATAAATAAATAAATAAATAAATAAAAATAAAATAAAATTTCTATTCTAGAAAATTTGAAAATCATCATTATTTTTATGTCTGCTTATGACACCAGTGAAACACTTGGATTATCTGTGTGGTGGTAGAAGACAGTTAGATTAGGAATCTGAGAAACTATGTCCTTAACTTGTCTTTATCATTCTCTAGTCATATTACCCTGGGAAATTAAGAATATTAGTTTAGTTTTTGCTTAAAAAGGAGATAATTATTGATGTCACAGGGTCATTACCAAAATTAACGAGAATGAATATGCATGAAACTTGTAAATTGTAGTTTATGCAAATATGAAAATGTTATTGGACTTAGTTTTAATGTTTCTAATAAATTTAATTAAATAATTGTGTCTTTCATTATTTTTTTTTTTCATTTTAATAAAGATGCTTCTAAGTTTGGTGATTTTCAACATGAAAGGGTTTTCTCACCACCTTATTTATAAAATCATAAAAGACATTGATTTTTTTTTCCTTAGATATTCCAAACAATAGCATAAGAATCTAATTTAATTTTTGTTGATAATGGAGGAGGAAAGGCAATTTTTTCTTTTAAATTTCAGGCTGGTGGAATTATTGCTGCTGATCTCAGTAGATTTGTCATTTCACGCCTCCAGTGTGAGGCATGGAGACATGTAGAGTTTTGTTTCCTGGTTCAATCTTAGTGTTTAAAAAAGCTGTTGGAATAAAAAGCAACTACATTTTAAAAAGCCTTTGAGGGTAATACTTCTCATATGCAGATGTATCTTCTTTTGAGCTTTTATTTTGCATTTCTTTCTTTTCCAAATTGTCATTAACTGTTTTTACAAGTCATTCTAAGTCATCCCTAACCACTTTTCTTTTTACTTTTCTTTTGTACTAATTCCTACTCTTGAGGCTGCTTACTATAGAATAATTAAAATAATTGAAGGGAAGTACTGGCCTTTTTAATCTTTTGGGGTCTTTGATGAAATAATATCTTTATTCTTTATGATGACACCTTGGATCAGGCATAAGCATACCAGTGTGTGTTGAATGAGAAGAAAAGCATTTAAAGCTGTCGTGTATTAATTACATCAGACATTCATTTTTAAATGTGTGTGGCTTTATTTTTTTCCACACCCTTATGTTTTTCTTTTTCTTTTTGGCATACTGCAAAAATATTTTTGGCATCATTGAGAAGTTTGCATGTAAACATCAACTTACTTCATATCTTAAAATATATCCAGTGCATATATTTTGGCTAAAGTAATCCTTTGTGCAATTACATAGTTGTTTTGGCCTTTTGAATGAAAACTTTTTATCATATTTTTTTCTCCTTACTAAAATATTTAAAAAGTATATGGTGAGTTGCCCCAGTGTGAGAATTATCTGTTTCATCTTTCTTTTAAACTAGTATAATTATAATTGGTGGATTTTTATTGAAGACATTTTGGAAGATAAAGAGATATGTAAAGAAGAAAATAAAATCACCCATAAAACCAGAACCTAGAAATAAAAATGCTGGCAAAATATTGCATTGTCTTTGTTTTTTTCTTTATGTATCCTATAAACACAATTTTTTCCTTAAAAAAATTGAGATGATATATATTGTTTTGTATATTTTGAGTAATTTTTATTCTATTAAATATTGTTCTTAAGCATCTATTTTTAATGGCTGTATTATATTTCAAATTATGGAAGTATTCTCAGTTAATTTAACTTATCCCTATTGTTGGGAATTGAGATTTTTTAAAATACTTTTACTAATATAAATAATCCTGGGAAGAATATCTATAATGTCTCTATATGCATCCCTAAATATTTCCTTGGGGTAATGAATTATATCTTACATGATAAAATTGAATTGGAGGATTTCTAGAAGTTTAGTATCATTAATAATTTAACTTAAGAGTAAAAATTAAAACTTGGAAGCTTATTGAAAATTGTATTTTACTGTAAGATACAAGTAAGGAATTTATTGTGTACAAAAATGAAAAGGAAAATAAAAAGACAAGAGCCACTTGAAGGCAGAGGAAGTAGCAGTTTATATTCCCTTTTTTTAAAAAAGATTTTATTTATTCATGAGAGACACAGAGAGAGAGGCAGAGACACAGGCAGAGAGAAAAGCAGGCTCTATGCGGGGAACCCCATGCAGGACTTGATCCAGGGACACCAGGATCACTCACTGGGCCAAAGGCAGGCGCCCAACCGCTGAGCCACCTAGGCGTCCCTATATTGCCTTTGTAAATACGAAAATACTAATTATAAAACACATATTTGCAGGACAAAAATTTTTTAGCATTTTCATATTTGAAATGAACAATACCAATCATATTGTTTTGTTATTTTTGTCTGTTTCCTAGAGATATTTTACTAACTTGGATTTTTTCCCTAAATTTAAATACATAGTTATGTTGTGATATGCATAGTTATCCTCGAGGATAGTTCTATATCTACTTGCTTAAGTCACTTTTATTAAACATTTACTTGTGGGCATGATGATAAATGCTTTTCTGTTTTGAAATTCGTAGGGCCTTGCATGTCTGTGTAAGAAAACCCTTATGTGTCTTGTGCATGTTCTCATCGAAAAATGCTGAGTGGTGTTCTAAAAATAATAAAGAGCATTATTTAAGTGGGTTAATTTTATTTTTTTATTTTTATTTTTTTAAAATTTTTATTTATTTATGATAGTCACACACAGAGAGAGAGAGAGAGAGGCAGAGACATAGGCAGAGGGAGAAGCAGGCTCCATGCACCAGGAGCCCGATGTGGGATTCGATCCCGGGTCTCCAGGATCACACCCTGGGCCAAAGGCAGGCGCTAAATCGCTGCGCCACCCAGGGATCCCCAAGTGGGTTAATTTTAAATGAAATGTGAATTATTAAACATTTAATCTTCATTTTCTCAACACCTAATCTTCATTCTTTAGAGGTAATCATCGCTGAAAAGTGTGTATTCTCTTTAAAATTTTTTATTAAGGGATCCTTGATATATATATATATATAGATAAATTGTTCAGGAATCACAATGACAATATAATGAAAACATATGAAACTCTAAGAAAAGACAGCTCACGAAAGTGAAATTAAAACACACAAAACAGGGGCACCTTCCACTCAGATAATGATCCCAGGGTCCTGGGATCCAGTCTGGCAACAGGCTCCCTATTCAGCAGGGAGTTTGCTTTTCCCTCTACCTAAATATATATATTTTAGCAATTTCTATATTAAAGAATTCTGGCTTTTTTTATATTTCTTCCAAGCATTTTTTCTATGTCTCTTATTTCTGGTATTTTTTTATGTATACAAGTTTTCTCTTAAAAGCTAAATCTGTCAACCTTTTCTCTAGCTTGTGATTTTTGTATCATACCTAGAAAAACATTTCTTATTATATGATTATGAAAAAATTCACTCATGTTTTTGTCTCTTTGTAAATCATATTTTTATCTCAGATCTGTTTCACAGGCTTTTGTTGTGATGGTAATCTAGAGCCATCAATTTTAATGTTAATAATAAAAAATTTAGGAGGTTGCAGTGCTTAAGTTAAAGAAGGCAGTAAGTGTGGAGAGAATTGATTGGTATGAAATTTTATACAGATTACAGGGTTCATTTGTGTCATGAAGCATTTAATGAAGGATTTACTTCTGTTTAAACTTTAGAGAGTTCTAAAATAATTAGCTTTTAGAAATCAAACTTTATAAAATACAACTTTCATTTTAAA